TGGGAGCCAATGTGCAAAGGCACCTGCTCTTGTCACATCATCACGCCCAGGGCCTTACTGTGCCCACTGCCCACCAGCCCCGCCAAACACCAGGATCCCCTGGCCAGGTCTCCCCACGGGACCGCCCCCCATGATTGGCAGGTGCTGTGGTGCCCCTCCCCCATGAGCACAGTCTGCTTCTCTGACCTGGCAAAGGGCAGGGACCTGGCACAGAAAGGAGGGCAGCCTCCTCCATTAGGGGGGCAGCCTCCTCCATTAGGGGGGACAGCCTCCTCCATTGGGGGGCAGCCTCCTCCATTACAGTCTCTAGCTCAGCCGTGGGCAAACTACGGCCCGCGGGCCGGATCCGGCCCGTTTGAAATGAATAAAACTAAAAAAAAAAAAAGACCGTACCCTTTTATGTAATGATGTTTACTTTGAATTTATATTAGTTCACACAAACACTCCATCCATGCTTTTGTTCCGGCCCTCCGGTCCAGTTTAAGAACCCATTGTGGCCCTCGAGTCAGAAAGTTTGCCCACCCCTGCAGTCCCTTGTGGGGGTGTCTCGCTCGCATCACAGTGTGCATTCACGGGGTGCAGCCAGCAAGCAGGCATGGAGAGTTTGATCATGAATGGGTGCTGGAGTTTTTAATGCTCTTCCTGCATCTCTGGGTATATCTGTGATGTCTCCTTAGCCGGTTGATATGATGGATCACATTGATTGATTTTTGAGCCTTGGACACTTGGTCATGACATAGAATTTTTTTCATATCTTGTTAGATTTGATTTGTTATAAGTAGACACAGGTGAGTATACATATTTTTTTCTACATATTTTTATTGATTTCAGAGAGGAAGAAGAGGGAGAGGCAGAGCTGGGCGTTGGGCCATCGGCTCAGAAAAACAATGCAGGGCCAAGGCCACAGGCGGCCTCGCGGGAGAGGCCTGGACGGGACCCTCCGGACGGACGGTGTTTTGAACCCGCGGGGAAGGAAAACAAAAATATGTTTTGCTCCCGGAACTGACGGGGGATGATGTCAATGGAGCCAAGGCTGCTGCTGCTGCTGCGAGAGAGAATCGTGGATCGGCTGCCTTCTGCCCCCTACTGCGGATCGAGTCCACAACACAACTCGGCCCGACTGGGAATCAAACTGTGACCTCCTGGTTCATCGGTCGACCCTCAACCACTGAGCCACCCTGGCTGGCCTGACTTGCTCCTATTTTATTGCAGACGTTTGCATCTATGTTCATGAGACTGGGTCTGTGGTTGTTCATTTTTGTCATTTGGTTTGGGTATCAGGGCAATGCTGGCCTCGTAGAAGGACTTAGGAATTATCCCCTCTGCTTCTGTATCCTGGAAGATTGAAAGAACTGGTATAATTTCTTCCATGAATGTTCATCAGTGTGTGGGGCTGGCTCCTGCCAGCGGCTGAGCCGGGAGCCCCTGCAGGCCGTGTCCGGGCCCCCACCTGCTCCCCAGGGGCTGCCGGGTGCTCTGGGGAGGCCTGGGACAGGTGACACTGTGTGACCGACAAATGTGCCGCTGGACACACACTGTGGATTTCACAATGTTTCCATTCACCACACAAACAAAAGAGCCCTCACTGTCCTCAGACCAGGGTGCCTATGTGCCAGGAGGTCAGGGCACCCGGGGGCCAGGAGGTCAGGGCACCGTGCGGGGCCAGAGAGGGGGAGAAACATCCATGATGAGGAGGTCAGGGCACTGGGGGTGGCCGAGCGCAGGGAGAAAACAGGACGCGGGCAGCATCCAGCCGCCCCCACCTGGCAGGCTCTGGGACTGTGGATGCCTGAGGCCCCGGCTTCCCCATCTGGGACAGGATGGGCCGCACCTGTGAGCTCTATTTTTTTATTATTATTATTCTTTACTAACTACACGTTCTTTTCAGAAAAAGTAAAATGGATTTTTTTATTGATTTCAGAGAGGAAGGGAGGGGGAGAGAGGGGGAGAAACATCCATGATGAGAGAGAATCATGAACCGGCTGCCTCCTGCACGCCCCCCACTGGGGACGGAGCCCACAACCCAGGGCCTGTGCCCTGAACGGGGACTCGAACCCTGACCTCCTGGTTCCTAGGTTGACGCTCAGCCACTGAGCCCGCCGGCCGGGCTGAAGTGAAATGGATGTAAGTGATGTTACCATGTGCCATCGTCCTGCCGTGGAGATATTGCCCATGTTACCATTTCCTTTTGGTCTCTTTCTGGATGTGTGTGCGTCTGTGGTGGGTGTGTGCATGTGCCATGTGTGCTGTGTGGCAGGTGTGTGCTGTGTTGCATATGTGTGCCGTGTGTGTTGCATGTGTGTGGTGTGTGTGTTGTGTGTGTGTGCCGTGTGTGTGACAGGTGTGTGGCGTGTGTGTGGCAGGTGTGTGGCAGGTGTGTGGCAGGTGTGTGCTGTGTTGCATATGTGTGCTGTGTGTGTGCTGTGTGTAATTTTGAAATGGCCCCACACTCGCTGTCGGTTGTACAGCCTTTCCCGTGTCACACGTCACAGACGCCTTGTCTGCAGTGTGCACCTGCCCGCGGTGCTTACACGGGTGCACACAGATGCACACGCACGCACCGGGGTGGCCACAGTCTCCACCCGTGGACGAGCCCTAGTTTATGGCCTCGGCCTGCGTTTCCGGCTCTGCCCTGCACTCGGGGCTCCTGAAGGTAACGCGCCC